CCCCCCCCCCCGCCCCACCTCCCAAACTAAAAATCCCTGTTTTCATTTGGGCAGACTTACATAACACGGAATTTTACCATCCGAGTTTGCTAATGTATACACGACAATCCAAAATTCTGAATTGCCAGCAAAATGGTTGAATTACCGTTAAAACCATAAATAAACCGTTCCCTGAATCTTACAGTGATACGGCCATACGTAAGAAATGAAGAGAAGAAACACGTCGGTACTCACTTAGCCTTGTAGCAAGTGTCGAAAGGGCTCGAGGATAGGAAATAAGGGGAAAAGGGAGGGGGGTTGGAAAGTACTCTCTCCCTCTTGCGTGGAATTTACGCGCTGCGGACTTCACGTGCCAGGCCCCCTGCCGCTCACGTGATTGTAGGGTCATAGGAAAAACGCATGCACACAGGAAACAGTACCTACTTTACAAAGACGCCTCAAGCTCACGGGTGAAAATATTTGTAGCTTTATGTCATAATGATTTGGGATTGTTTCATAAGTTAGCAATCGTGTGATGCTTTGGTCTCTGGCTACACGTAGGCTTGAAAACGATATTATATGATTTGCCATTTTAGCCAACTTTCAGTTTTTCTTTCGTTTGTTAAAAGAAAAAACAAAACAAAAAGGAGAAAACGATAATTCGAGTCAGGTCATAGGGGTGCTTCGGCCGTGGATCTCAGAGTCTCACTGAGGGAGGTTCGACTAGATAAGAATTTTTAAGAAAGGGATCCACAAAATTTCGACTTTTTATCATTCGATATTATCATCGAGAGATGTCATCAAAATATACAATCCGGTCAGCAGTCCATTCGCCACAGTCACCTTTTTTCACGGTTAGGCTGCGTGCAAACGCACGCAACATTGTTGGCCAACAACTCCCAACATTGTTGCATGTTACATATTGCGTCCGTTTGCACACCCTGTTGCATGTTGTTGGATGTTGTTGCGCGTTGTTGCGCAAAGTTTGAAACCGGTCAAACTTTTAGCCCCGTGCAAACTGACGCAACATTGTTGGTAGCGCCCGTTTACACTTAGCCTTAGCTTGCAGAGAATAGAGACGACATTTCTCCAGTCTTCGAAGCTGGTTTTACAACGTGTACACCATGTGTCAGCAAAGTAGCTTCCTTTATGATGTCCATCTCAAATTAATGTTGCCTTTAACCACGACAAAACATTCAAGCGCCACTTGCGTAAAACAAAGACAGACTTTCGCTCTTTAAAGCACTTCCTCTTCGTCCACCCAAAATCAGTTCCTACTTTTACTTGACCGCGTTACGCGTAAAACGTCGAGTGATGTTCTGAACTTGCGAATTTCATCCTTGACATACAGATTGCTCCACGCCAAACTTCTCATCGACTCCATCGGGAAAGGAAAGTTTCTCAAATATTTCGTTCTTGAGAACTAAATGCTGAGCTAGCTCTGTGGGATCTGTGATAGGAACCTAAACAAACAAACAAATAAATAAATTTATACTAATACGTGAGAAATTTCTGCAATTTGATTGGCTTAGAGCAGTGGTATTTCAGTTTAATTTGAAATACCTACATATGAAAATTACAAACTATTTGCAGGAAGTAGTATAAACAAATCATAGCATGATTTTAATAATCATGTTATTACCTACACAGAGGCACCCAACGGCAATTTTCGGGAAAATATCTGTTCGGAAGACGATTTGAGAACTAGAATTTTCGGAACATTTGTTGTAAAATTTCTTGCTTGCCTGCCTCTCCTAGGATTTTCGAACATCTACAAAATGGTACAATTACCCATTTTAAACGGATATTTATCCTAAAAAAGGTCACCTAGAATTTTCGGGAGCCTTTTTTCTGGCTGAAATTTTCGAAAAGGTAAATTTTGATCCCTATAATTTTCGGATCACTAGACTTTCAGCTAGGAAATCCGAACAGATGAAAAGTTTTTAGGAGATAAAAATATGCCTATATCTGCCGTTTAAATACTAAAATACGTTCAACAATACTATGTTAAGTGGTTTTGAACTATATCTTTCTTTGGGTGCCCCTGCCTACACCAACTAGTAATAATAAAAGATTACAGTGCGTGGCCTTGGGGCTGGTTAGACACCGACACTCATTTCATTAGCAAATATATACATCAGGGCCGAGTTGTTCAAAGCTGGGTTAAGATAACCCAGGGTTAGTTCGAAATTTGAATTCAGATATGAAAGCTTAAAAAGCAAATTTTGTCAACAATTTGATGATTGGCTACTCTAAAAATAACAGAGAAAATTTTCCTGAAAAATGCTTTTGATGAAAAGAAAAAACAAACCCGGGTTAGCGCTAATCGGCCTTCGAACAACTGGGCCCTGGTGTCGGATAAACACTAAGAATAACTTAAAACTCGATGAATTGTTAATAATTTCCTGATCAGGCTTTGATCTACGATATATTTAGAAAACAAAAAGATTAATCTAAAGTGCAAATCACCGGTGGCCCAAGCGTAATATGAAAGTTTGTATGGGAAAAATAGAGTTTGAAACTTAGATGAAATAAATGAAGTAAAAGCGATAAAAGTTATCAATAAAGTGTAAATATTGTTAGCTGGAGTCGTTGTCTTTGTTTTTACGAAGTTTTAGCGCGATTTGAGTACTTTTACATCATCTGACCTGACAGTGTAATAATAAGAGACAAGGTAGGACAAAATCGCTCGCTCGATCTTCAAAGCTGCTCAGAATCAGCTCCAAATTTCACGCGAAAAGACAAACACACTTACAATTTACGCCGCCGAATCCACAAAGTGGTGCCTTAAGATCACCTTCCTGCAATCCGTTCCGGTAATTGCGTTTGGATCGCACAACTCGATCGAAAAGATCAACTATAGTTCAAAAATCGCCGCCATTTATCCGTGAGTAGGAAAAGTGTAACATTTCAACCGTTTTGTCGCTCGGCGGTGACTGGGCGCTAGCGTCAAATAATAACTCACCGGGAGAGGGTGAAATTACTTCGTTAAGACAAATCTCTACGCACCCACCTTCGAGGAAGGTCGGCTTCTTTGTTTTCACTCGGCCAATGAACGAAGCAACAAAACAAAACAAAGAAGCCGACCTTCCTCGGAGGTGGGTGCGTAGAGATTTCAGGATAACTATACCTTGAGTCCCAAGATTTCTTCCATTTTTCTTTCTTTTGAGGAATATTCTCGTAACATGTACGAAGAACCAGCCTGAAATATTTAGACATAATAATGGAAGATGATAAAAGTTTCATATCTCTCACAAAAAAAATGAGACAGTTACAGCTTTTTGGTTGAGCCAGTTTCCTTAAAACACATCGCTACCTTGCATACTTCTTAGAAATTATGGACTCATATGGCTGAACTAGTGTGGCCGGTCAGTTCGGACCGAATAGTAAGTGTCCTATAGCCTGGGTGCATAAAAGAAGTCCGCACGCAGGCTAGCATCCTAAGACAAGCATAAGGGTGGTTTATTGTGTACATGCTAGTTATGTAGTGCTTTCGAGTGGTATACTGTGAAATATCCCATGGGTACAGGCTTGATTTTTCTTGACATGCACACAAGACTTACTTTGGGTATTGTCCCATGTAGTTGTAACTTTTGGGTTTGTGTAAATCAAATCCTATGATGTACATGTAACCATCTGAGTGATGACACAGTTTCACTTTACTTATTTTTACCTTGTGGTATATTCTTGTATCATTGATTCTAATAAGGACACCATCCACTCGCATGAAAAACCTCAGAAGTAAAAAGAAGCCACCTTGCATGACACGCTGAAAAAGAAAAGACAAATTTTCTTCAAAGTCACTCATTCTACGATTTATTATCAACGCTAATGTTAATGACTATGAAAATAAATTTGTTTTCTTTCACAATACCTATTTTACACCACCCCCTCTGCTTATACCATAAAATTAGCACCTTTTTGCTACAATACAACTCCAAGTTATTTTGTAGGAACATGGCAATATATTCCTAACTGTCTTAATTGCTCAAAGTCTCCCTACTTCTACAATGAAAGACTGCGAGGAAATGCTGGCCTGTGTGGTGCTTTTGAGAAATACAATACAGGTAATGTGCACGAGAAGGGGATACATGGGCGAGTTGCCTTACCCTTTACACCTCAAGCTACAAGTGACAAAAAGAGCATATGAACTTTTCTTTTTCTTTTGAAGTATTTGAAGTATTTTGATGTACAATTTTTTATAGAGTGTTTTCACTCACGTGGTCAGCATCTATGCAAATTTATTGGAACAAAAGAAAGCGTTTGCATAAGAAAAGAGTTCAACTCCCCCAGGACTGGTTTGGGACACCAATATGGCCGCCGTTTCATTGTTTTGGGACACCAATATGGCCGCCGTGACGTCATGTGAAAACACTCTATTATTATTTATATAATCATACCTATGACAAAATTGTCAAATCTGATTGGCTCTCAACTGCCCTGATTTCAGCCTTAATAGGACAGTACGCGTCATGCCTAAGTAATTGGACAGTACGCGCCATCACGCGCGCACTTAAATGGCTTTTTTTTTTCACTGCTAGCGAAACAAAATTTCGAATTTCTTGTGTTTTGGTTTAAAAAAATAGCCTATTGTATCACAAATTTTGTTAAAGTTATGATTAATTGGTAACAGAACTTTGTGTCGTCCAATTCAGTCTGTAATCATACTCGGGATTAAACAAATCAGACTCCCGCTACGCAGTCGTCCGATTTTGTTAATCACTCGTATGATTACAGACTGAATTGGACTCCACTCAGTCCTGTTACCATTACATATTATACAAGACATTTAGTCTTTACCATTTTTACATTTAATTTAGAAATCCCATTATCTGCTAGTTCATCTTCAAACAATATGACATCCTCATAGAAGTAGATCTTTTCTTTGACTTTCAACTGTTCCATATCTATTCTCTCATCAGTAGACTCCACCTGAAAGGAATACAGATCACTGAACAAGGCTATGGAAGCCACTATAATAATTGTTGCCATAAAGATAAGAAAACTGCACTCTGGTGGAGATAATGTAGTGAAGCTGCTTCCAAACTGAAACATTTATAAAATAGAGATGCCGTGCATATTGCACATGCTGAAGGGGACCAGCCTCACAATGCAGTTTCATGACAGAACATGTACCGTCAAAGGTTAGATTAGAACTTGATTTGTTAGAATTATGCCTTCGATGGTGAGTTTAAAGAATACACTTTACAGCCAAATTCATTGTATCGCGCGCTGCTCGTTTTGCAAACTTCGAAGGAATTTTGGGTTTTTCTGTTCTGTCAATCATCTTAGCGGACCTCTCAGTTAGGAAACAGATGTTTACTTGAATGAGTTCAAAAGGGTTATGGTTTGTGATTGGTGGGTTTTGATCCATTTTGTTTGTTTCTGTGATCGTCCTGTTTCAGGCAATAATTGACTCATTTGGTTCGAAGACTTTTTTTATCTTTCTTATGAATGTCTACCCCACTTGCATGAATAAAGCAATGTCTGGCTCCTTCCCTCGACAAAAATTCCACTCACCATCGCGATTTCCTTTGCTATTATTGAGTAGTTTAGAGTCATTTGCAGTTTTGTTTTTCCTTGTGAAGCAGGGCAAGTGCACCCCTACTCAAATGATTTTCGGGACAGAACAGAAAAACCTAAAAACCCTTCGAAAATTGCAAGCGATGTGATACAACAAATTTTGGTTGCAAATGATGTGTATTAAGGACTGCCCTTCTGTAAATGAAATGTATTAAGGACTGGAAATTCCATGACGAGCTATGTACTACATCTAATGTCAACAGTCACGTTATTGTGTCAGTTAAGTCAATTGGCATGTTGTTTTAAATTTGTATATTATCATCAAGTGCTTAATGTGCCCACTTGCTGGATTAAAGAAATACATATAACAAAAAGCTGTTTCCCTTGCCCTAGGTTTGTACATTAACACAACAAATTATGTATTAATTAATGACAATGTAAAAAAGGTTTTACCTTCATGGTCATCTTGTTTTTGCCTGTCAATGTACCCCTGTAATCTGTTGTGAACGTCCAGTCAAAAGGTTTTATCACTTCCTTTATATATTCTGAATCTTGTCTAAAGAAAGAATGGTTTCAAAGAAGATTAGGATAAATGAAAAAACAAACTCAAACAAACAAACAAATCTGTAATTCTCAGAAAGCATGTGTAAATAGCTTTAAGGCCCTAAAAATAAAAGAATGCAAGATCCAAGAACTGCAAATCCCCGCAAATAATGTATGCTACACAAAAATAAAATGCAATGAATTGTTTTATAAAATATTTTCTTATTAATATAATTTGATTGATTATAAAGACATATTAGGGTCGATAAAATTTGCAAACCATGGAGAAATGTGAACCATGACAACCTGACAAAGTGTGCATCACTTTAAATGCAGTATAGTATACGGTTTAATAATAAATTATTGCTCCACAACTTAATCAGTGGCATTGTCAAAAAAGACAATAAATGGTGCAGTACAGTCAGGATTGAAAAATAATACAAGTACAGTACATATCTTCAGTTCACATAATTTTAATTAGCAGTAGACCTATCATAGCAATAGAGGAGAGGGGTGATGTCACCTTACCATGGAAGCAAAACTCATGGATCTTAACAATCTTTCTTGACAGAGATGGTTATTTACATTGCCAAATGATGAAGAAGAGTACATTGTATTGGCTACCACTTTGTTCCTGAGTTCAATCATGCACAGGAAAGTCATATGTGTCAAACATTTTCATTTTTTCCTGCGATATTTGCAGGATCATGGTTTGTTGAGATCTAGAAATTTTGCTACCTGCATGGCAACATGGCATAACAACTTCTCCTCTCCATTACCTTTTACTCTGCCACTCTTCTGCTACAGCAACTTTCATAAGGTCATGTCTGTTATCCACACCTTTAAGTGCATCTATTGCATTGAATTGAATTCCAAACCCTGCACTGTGATCGATCTGCAGAATGTTGTCGCCAAACACCATTTCAGGAAGGGAGGGAAGCTCAAGTTCAGCAGAGATTCTACACATGATTAATAGAAAAAAATAATAAAAAAGTAAATTACCTTAAAAGCCAGTAGCAGCTCTAAGGTGATTATTCTTAATTATTTATATAATATTGGTCACAGGTCCTAATATTCACAGTCCTTTTCTGACCTATGTCAATAAAAATTTGAGGAGTGATTAAATCATAAAGTGTTGTACAGCAATTTAATAACAGCCTTACTTCATGTAAAACTAGGGGAGGGTTAGTTCACGGTTACTCCACTTATCAATCATACAGTACACCCCACCAGCCTCCCTTGAGGATCTTGGACATTTGCCCTACTTTACACAACCATCAGCACAGCTGACCCCTACAATTCTACTATTGCAAGTACAGGAGTAATATGTTCAATCAGTTAATTGCCAATAGCACAGGCTAATCGTAGTACCAGAGATCAAGTGAATATTAGTGACTATCACCGGTAACCTGTACAACCAGCATTTTGGCCTTTAATGGAGCCCTTCTTAAGATGTTATGCAGTCACTTTGTCAGTCATTTCTGAGACTGCCTGCACTTACAGGGGTGGCGAATGGTAAAAATAGTAGACAAATGGTTGAACGGATTCGTCCAAATAACTGAATAAACCACAATAGATACTCCTCAATGTGGCTTTAACAACTCGAGGAGTGTAGTGATTATAAGGCTCTTTGGCTTATTCGCTTTTAGCTGAACGAAATCCCATCGTCAGGCCGCAATAGCTCTTTCACACTCCTGTTGATTGTATCTTCTCCACATCAAGTATAATATCGGGAACAAACGTGCACAATTCGTCCAAATATGCAACAATGAACCACGCTCAATTATTTCAATGTCCTTTTAACAATTCTAAGTCCATTTCTTGCGGATGATTTTATCAGTGTTCTTTAGAATCTTTCCATTTATACAAAACCCATCTCTATAATTGATGTGTCGGGAAAAAAATTCGCCTTAGTAGTACCCTCTAGAATATTCCAAACATATGCGCAAAAGGCACTTGGAACAAAAGTAATACTAAGTAAGGGAGGTAAGAGTAAAGTGTCTAATCTGACTTTAATGAATAAATTAATTAGAATCGAGTGAGTGAGTGAGTGAGTGAGTGATCGAGTGCCATTTGAGTGCCTACAAAAGCCCATGGCATGACTACGTCATCCATGAGCTAAAAAAAGTAAAAACAAACCATGCAAAAACAAGACTTTGAGACTCATCAAAAACGCTTCCGAGATTTCGAGATCCTGCCAGCATTTTCCGATACCCACGTTTTTCGAGGTACCATTCACCACCCCTACTTACCTGGTAGGTTAAGAAAAAATGGCACTGTTGCATTTGCTAGCATGAAATTTTCCCTGCTGGTCCAGAGAGGGGAGATTTTTATTTTGCAGCTGAAATAGTTCAACTACAAAACTGAGTAGATTGTTGCTTTCCCTTCATATAAAAATGATTGCCGCTGTCACAATTCATTCAGCTTTTTCTGTCTCTGGTTGGTGCTTTGTGACAAGATCATTACCAGATTTCGGGGCCATTTTGTTTGTAGAGTCTACAGGCTCTTGGAAGGCCTATTTATGGCAATGTCCAGTTATTATTTTATTTCTAATACTTATCAGATCACATAACCTTACACTTTTTAACCACCAGCCCCCTAAGGGTGTTGAGTTTTTTGAATAAGGGGGTTTGGATTTTTTCTTTAAAGAAGATGGGCAAATCTAGACCCTTTGCATCTGTTTTGCAATGTTGCTGACGAAAAAGTATTAAACCTTCAAGTTAAAAATGGAACACACCCACATCCAGAGAGATGTCAAATACCTGCACAAGATTACAACACTGATAAAATTTATTGTTATATTCCTAGAATTTCCCTCAACTAAACAGGGACTGCCATTGGTTGATTCTTGGTCACGTGGCCTTGACTAAAATCAAATGTATCCCGATCGTGATACATTAAACAATGTATCCCGCTCGGGACACATTGCAGCACGTGATCAAAGCATGGTGGAAAGTGGTGTGACAGAAGGCGGGAAAAACACCGCCAGGTCCAGCCAGTTTTCTTTTTCGTGAATGAACACAACAACACGAAAACGAAGCCTCAAGCTAAAAAGCAACGATTTTTAAAGTTATCCCAGAAGTTTCCAGAAGAAAAACAGCAGCTAGTGGAGGAAAAAGATGCAGATAATATGAGGAAAGTACTTTTGTTTGTAAATCATTCATTCAGTGGTTTTGAGAATTAAATTTGTGTTGTTATAAGTGCCGAGTCGACTGTTTTGGTTCGCTCCCGTTATTCTTTTGTTGCTGTTGAAGCGAAAGTCTAGAAATATAATAAAACACTTAATGTCAGGTCCCTCGGGAAACCAGTTAGTTTTGTTTTCCCTCGAGTCCTGATGTTTCCCTCGACTTCGTCTCGGGAAACATCAGGACTCTTGGGAAAACAAAACTAACTGTTTCCCTCGGGATCTGACATTAAGTGTATAATGTTGTCAAGTGTAAGTTTTAAGCTTAAGTTTACCTGTCAACATCTCCTGCTTTTAAAATGGCTCCTTTCGCAGTAGTTATTTTCCAAGGTCCAAAACTAAATGTATCAGTTTTTTTCATATCAATTTCGTTGAAGAGAAGATCTATATTCTAACTAATCTAATAAAATCTGCTCTGGACAAATGGGAACTCCATCTCTTACTCTAGTGTCTCTCTCGGAAAACACGAGCCCGCCACGAGCATTTTGGAAAGGAACAAACAGCGGTAAACCACAAAAATTTGCGCACACATTTTTGGCACCGACCGCTGAGCATACATGGGCGTCTAATTCAAAATGGCGGAAGAAATGGAGGAATCAACGGCGAATCAGGTGAGCAACTCTCTCCACAAAACAGTCCTTGACAAACCCATCTATCAAGGTATTATGGCGTTTGCAACAGTAGAGAAATTCGTAAGCACTTCTGACAAGGATTATGTACCACCAAAGTTCCCTTTTGAGCTGCCTTCGTTTAACAGATCGTCCACTTTTGGAGTAGAAATGCGAAAACACTTTTTCCTTGATCTCGACAACTGGACGTTTCTAAATCATGGAGCTTTCGGGTGCGTCCTTAAAGAAGCCTTAGAAGCAGCTTTTAAGTGGCAGTGTTATGTGGAAAGACAACCTGCGCGCTTCGTTGACAGAGAAATGCTGCCCCATTTGGCTCACGTTAACCGGAGACTGGCAAACTTTGTTGGCTGTGATCCGAGTGATGTTGTCCTTCTTCCTAATGCCACTTTTGCAATCAACACTGTGATTAAATCAATAGCTTGGCGTCCTGGAGATACTGTTTATTTCTTGAACACTTGTTACTATACTGTGAAGAAATTATTTAGGCACATCAGTAGTGAACATGGTAAGTTCTTAATGCTGTTCGCCTATTCTTTTGTTTTTCTTTTTTTAAATAAGCTCAATTTACTTCAAATGTAAAAGAACAAAAAATTCAAGAAACATGATAACAACTAACATTAAACTACTAATGAAATGATTTGAGATTTGGATTTGTGCGTTTTAAGCAAGAGAGGTTTCGAAGAAATAGTGGTCTTCTTCTCTTAACTGCGGTGGTGTAAATATAATACTTTGCTATCATTAACAGAGGTTCAATCCAAGCCTTAGTGCAGATTTGTTCATAAAACCATAGATAATTTTTTTTTATTGAGCACAATACAGCCATCGTTTTTGGAATTCCACCAATAATGTGAATTTAGACCAGAATCTTTTAACGTGTGAGCAAGATACAAATATTATGAGTTAGTGTTTGTTTTTGTTCACCAAGAAGGCATTGATCCTTATCTTTAATCTTGTCGTAAATAAGGTCATATTGGTGGGCGAAATAATTTTTGGTTTACAATTTTATATTCTATTTGTAAAGGTATACAGACATTTACAAGTCAAGCACTAGGCTGGCTTTTGTTGTTGATAGTAAATTACTGCTTCTGATGTTCAGGGGTGTGGTTTTAGTTTTGTTTGTAGGTTGGTGTCCACAGTTGCTACATGTAGGTAACTGCATACATGTATATAAAGGCTAAGCAATCAAAGCACAAAAGGAATTCTGAAAAATTTGTTAACGTTGCTGCGTTAAGGGTGCTACCCTTGTTTCCCAAGGAATCACTTCTAAGGCTAAGCAATCAAAGCACAAAAGGAATTCTGAAAAATTTGTTAACGTTGCTGCATTAAGGGTGCTACCCTTGTTTCCCAAGGAATCACTTTTTATGAACTGTCCAATGTAGATAGCAAAAAATATGCAATGTTTTTGATGATTGCTTTTATTGTTTGTGTGGAATACATGTAAACATAATCTTGTGAGGACATAGAATCCAGAGTGCTGATCACTTCTGGCAAATTTTGCTCAAATGCCACTTAATGTTAGCACTTAAGATGGCAAAATGGTCTTCCTGTTACAAAACACAAAAAAAGTCTGGCTGATAGTTGCACAAAGCACCTGTCATTCCACTTAATAACAAAGATGGCTAAAACTACATGATCATTTTTTGTGGCTCATTACATGTAAGTACCCATCTACGTGGGTTGAATTTTACAGTTTATTTCCACCTATGTGGAGAAAAACCTTGCTTCCAATGACTAGATAGGACCAACTGGCTGGTAGGAGAGGCTTGGATTAACCAAACTGAAATACCATAATGTATAATGGCACATTACCTCAAAAAAATGTCTTCAGACTTGATGAACTTATCAGGCATTTATGATATTTACCAAATTTTATGCTAATTGGAGTTTATTTTCAGGGGTTGTTCTGAAGGAAATCACAATCACTTTCCCTGCCACCAGGGAGGAAATTATTCAAAGAATAAATGAAACCTTGGAAGAAGGTACAAGACTGGCCTTGTTTGGTCATATTCCTAGTAACTATCCAATCGTGATGCCAGTGGAAGAGATTGTTCAACTTTGCCACAAGAAAGGTGTTCCTGTTTTGATTGATGGTGCGCATGCATTAGGAACCTTACCATTAAATTTAACAGTTCTCAAAGCTGACTATTATGTGGGAAATGCTCATAAATGGTTAGCCTGTCCTAAGGTATGTTTTTCCTTTCTTGTATAAAAATTATATATTGACCTTGTACTTATTCAAATAAAATACCCCAAATACAAAGTTTACAGTATTCAGGTAAGCTGGAAGAACTGAAAAGAGTAGAAAAATTGCATCTCCTCCAATGACAATATTTTCTGAAGCTTTCCAAATGGGGGCACAAAAAATTTGATATTTCCATGTAAATGGTACTTAACCATTGAAGTTTTGGTGAGATTAACTGTGATAACGCATGATGACTGTTTGTCTTTGCAGGGGTGTGGCTTTCTGTGTGTATCTAAAGACAATCAACATATGATCAAGCCTCTTGTTGTTTCAAGTGGTTTTACAGCAGGATTTAATTCACAGTTCATATGGACAGGTAAGACAAATGCAGCTTGTGAATTCCCAATTATGAACAACAGACTTCTTTTAAGCATGTACATTGTATTTTTTGATTTCCTGTTATAGGTTACGAATACATAATTATAATCATCATCATCATCATCATCATCATCGTCATCATCATCATTATCATCGTCATCATCTTTATTTTTATAGCACTATTTCCAAAAGCTCAATAGCGCTTTACAGAATCATAAGAAAGAAAAAAAATGAATTAAAAACTGACATCGAATGACAATAAAAAGAATACCTGACGAATTACATTTAAGTTACGATAAAAATCCTGCTTAAAAATTCTAAGCTGCACTAAAAACTAAATCCCTAAAAATTAAAACAATAACATCTAGAAGATGTATGATTAGATATTCTATATGTAAGTATTTACCAAATCAGTGGATAACAATTTTCGTGCATTCTAATTGGCTCCCGTAACTCAGAATATCCTTGGATATTCACTGTTTTGGGACGGGAATCAAAATGGCTTCTCATTTTATGATGCTTTTGAAAGATGAAATTTCAGCGGTAAAATTTGAAGCAGTTGCACCAACAAATACCAAGAAAGAGACAAAATTTGGCTTGTCAGTGATTACTGGTCTGTAGAAAAAAAATTTCTTACTGAATTTGCAACCAAATTATATAGAATGATCCCCAAACACTGTTAATTGAAATGTAAACAAACTCTAACTAAGTGATATCTTTTATTTACAAAAACTTCCCTTTTGATTTTTATCCAACTGATTTGGTAAATACTAAAACAAATATCCCCATCAGGGTCGGTTCATAGTGCTCCCCCATTCCCTTCTTTTGCCCTCGCATCTACCCTAAGGGTTACTATTTCTACTCTCCCCAATCTTCCTCTGTCATAAAATCAAAGACGGTGGCTACAACAATACGAACATGAACAAGGTTTCGCCCACCCAAAATAGAGTACTAAAGTGTGACGTCATAAAAATGAAATTTCTGAAATTATGGGATTTGTCAGGATATTCTGAAAGAGCAATGTCCAAGAGGCCTACTTGCCAAAAATGAACATTTCGGGGCAAATTGTCTCTGAGATCGTAGCCCGGTTATACTCAGAAAACTCCATACAAACCCTTGTAATTGTTTTTTGGGTCGACCCCAAAAAAATTTAGAAGGGTTTGTATGGAGTTTTCTAAGCATAACTAGGCTACGATCTCAGAGACAATTTGCCCCGAAATGCTCATTTTTGGCAAGTAGGCCTCTTGGACATTGCTCTTTCAGAATATCCTGACAAATCCCATAATTTCAGAAATTTCATTTTTATGACGTCATCACTTTAGTACTCTATACGACTGCCCTGCTGGCTACTCGACACTTCACGTCTCGGGATATATATCCACCACTATTCACCTCCCCTTGGGGGGATAGTTGTAGCTTACATTGTCTAGAAAACCTAACGTATCCTTACATATGTATGAATGTGGTACAGTATTATGTAAAGGGGCTGTGACATGGCTGTCTGGAGTTAATATTGTTTATGGTGGGTGTTGAGCAGCACCAGTTAAACGACCTTATTCACCATGAAACTTGAGGAATTATCTGAGAATGACAAAATTACGGCTTTTTGTCCAAAAAATTTGTCTTCCAAGCATTACTGTATATCAATCATTACAAATAAGAAAAATGAATATTGAAAAACTGGTAGGCTAGCAAGTTTTTAAAAAAAACTGTAATTGCAATCCGTTTCAATCTTCCTCAAGTTTGTCCATCCTTGCTTCCTTTTGTAGTGCTGTGTCATTTGTACCCTCTTCCAACTTTCTGAGCAATTATTGTAATGTTTCACTCGATTTGGTGGCAGCTACATGTGTATTGATTTTTGTTGAATATTTTGTGACACAGCTTCTTTTATGGAAAGGGCTTTTTTTTGCAAAATTCCCTGACTTTTCCTTGACCTTGATAAAAAATTTGTTTTTCCCTGAGATATATATATTTTTTGGCTTACAGTGGTGACCCTGCAGCTTAATAATTATCTTCCTATTAAATATTATAATTTTTTTTTCTAATGCTAACTAGGTCTGAGGGATTATAGTCCTTACTTGGCTTTGAATACAGGTGAGATTTTTCATTTTATATTATTTACCAGAAGTTTACTGTGGAGGCCTACATCTAGTAAATGTGGTGAACAGGCCACTTGCTAACTCTGTTATTTGAAATTATGGCCATTTCTCTACAATGCAGATTTACATACCTTATTTCATGCAAGCTGCTGCCTAACCTAAAAACCATGATGATAAATATTATGCATATTCTTTGTTGCCTAAATCCATAATTATACATAATAATATGCACATTCTCTGTAGCCTTAAAACCATGTGATTTATTCTGCACAATTGCCTGTAGCCTTAAAATCATATAATATACAACGTATTATGCACATTCTTTGTTACCTCAAACCAGGTAATAATAAATATTATGTTATACACATTCCATGTTGCCTGAAAACAGTGTAATATAACAACAATCCCCTGTTGCCTGAAAACCATGTAATATAATCAAACACATCCCCTGCTGCCTTTAAATCATGCAATGTTTATGCACATTCTCTGTTGCTTCCAAACCATGTTATATTATTATTATACACACTCTGTGTTGCCTTTAAACCATGTGTATATCATGTACAGATTTTAATCTTGATCACTACAAGTTGAACGGGGACGAGCATTTATGACTTAACACCAAGGATCAGCTGCATAAATGCTGGATGTAAATGCTAACATATGTAATTGTCGTGAAAGCTAAAAAGTTTGACCGGGCTGAACGTCAGTTATGAGCTCTTGTCAGCTGAATGAATTTTATGCCTTGTATTGAATTAATACATCACTGTAAATTCTGTAAGGATTTCACAACAAACTAATAGGAATTTATATCAGTTTGTTTTGTTAACCATTCATTGATTCTGTATAAATTGTTCCAAATATTACCACTTTCTTCAGTTTCCTCTTGTTTATTTTGTGCTTGTAAGTATTTTCCGTTCGCGTGCTGGGTGATCATTTCATGGTCAAGTTGGGGGATCCCTTCGGTGCTGGGCATCATTTCGGAGTCGATTTTTGGGAACCTTTCCGGATTGCAGATCATTTTTGGTTCAATTTGGGGATCATTTTGAGGGTGAGGATCATTTTGGTGATCAGCATCACTTCGTGCCGGTGTACAGTGTACCTCTTAATCTTCATACGTAGACCTGTTTTCACACTTTAAACCTCTGAGGTCAACAATTCATTTAAAAATTTTGTTGGATCTTCAGAAATAAAAACGTATCTTACTTTCGGAAAAAAAATCCCTTAGCAGCTTAATTTCAGCTGCTAAATGTATGCAATTGGAAAATAGTTCCTGCGATTTCTAAGCTGGTGTCTTAAATCTTACTCCCTTAGTGTTGGATTTTTGGGAGGCCATGGGACCTGATCAAATACGCCAATATAACAATACCCTGGCCAACAAAGCTGCGTTGATGCTAGCCGACAAATGGGGTACTGGCTTATTATCGCACGCAGACATGTTTGGACCAATGGTGTTAATTAGGCTCCCTGAGGTCCTTCTGGACTGTGTTACTCGAGGATACCAAGATGAGCCACTCAAGGCCCATGCAGAGATGGTGCAGGCGAAGCTGCATTATGAATTCAGCATTGAGGTCCCAGTCAAGTTAATTCAGGGGAAACTGCACACTAGAATCTCGGCTCACGTGTACAATGAGCTGAGTGATTACGACAAGTTGTGTGAGGCTATTCTGATCATGACCAACGATGTGTGTAATAATCCAGCTGCTTATGACACGTATAAGAATTACAGGTAGTTTTTAACCAGCTGTTTATGATGAGACTGAATTAACAAATTGTGAAAGTTTATGCTGCGCAAAAATGTTCATTATTTTGTATTGAGTAGGAAATGAGATTTGAAAGTTGAGGTATTCAAAGTTTTTATATATAAAGGAATCTAAACAACTCCATAATTACCCTAATCACCGGGCTCAATCGTGTGTTCCTTTTCTCCCTAATTATTTATAGTAATTTATGCAAATAATGCTCAAGAACAAACAGTGTATATCTCTATGAAACAAACCACTATGAATGACATCTTGCATTATAATTATCCTTACGTTTTGTATTTTAAGGCGTGTTCTATCGCGCATATAATTTCAAAATTATTAACGAATCTTTTGAAGGAATCGGTGTGAATACACTGTGGGGCCGTTCATTGCAGAATACAGCACATGAACATCATTTAATTGGTATTAACTATTTAATTCTTATGAAGGGCTTGCATTTACATATGTTGTGTAATAATTCTTGGATCAAATTAAGTTATTTAACTACTTTATATTGAACCGAATAAGTCAAATTCAACATGACAGTGTTAAGAATCCCAGCTGGCCGGAAGTAAACCGGTTGGTTATTTACAAGGGTGGCCGAGGCGTTGAATTCTGACTTCCCGGAAACATATCCAGCCACCGTGCAGAATGCAAGTTGTGCGCCCAAACTGCTCGGCCTGCTCGAAAAAATATTCACTCGATTTCTAAAATGGAAAACAATGAGCTGGTAGAAACAAATTTCAATAAATTTCTCTCAATATTGTAATGCTATGAAAACAAGTTTTAAGTTGTTAAAAGTCTTGTTTGCTTAAAGCCCAGCCACTTCAGTCTTTCTGTCATTCTTGTCATCATCGCTTTCGTTGTTTCCTAAACTTCTGGGTTCAAGCAACTCTATCTCAGACAAGGCGTTTTTAGCGTCCAAATCATCTGCTTCCACATTGAGATCCATTTTCTTTGCCATCAACACCAACAGTCTGTTCTGGTTTTCCATCGTCCTCATCAAAGCCTTAACTCGCTTCTTCGTTTTACAAACTTGCTGCTGAATTTCCTTGATATTAGATTCCGTCATTTCTTCATACGCCGTCAGGGAAGGTGACTTCTCAAAAAAGCTAGCTTGCCCGGCTAACCATTCATGTAATCTCCTGAAGTGAAAAGAAAAAAATTGCTGCTTAACCCTAAAACAAATCAGTTGAAATCTCTTTTCTGTAGACGGTAGACTTGGTATTTGGTGACTATTATTTTACGACGTTGAGCTTGACATTCTAATGGTTAAGACGCATTACTATTCATTCCAAATATTTCGCCGTTTCTGATTAACTCAAATCCCCCGGCTAATTCTTCATAACTAGCTAGCGTTGACCAAAGGTGGAAGATGCAAGCAATATACCTTTGCTTCGATGGTACATTGCCTAAGCGGCCTCGTTTCCAGGCAAATAACCCATGGTGCAGCCTAGTTTCCAGGCGCGGCAGCCTACTGAACTAAAAAAAGTAGCGTTCCTTGCTATTCGAAGACGAAATAGCAGAATTTCTGACTAAAACTTTACGGAAGAAATTCAAACATACGCAAAGGATGTTATCTCCTTTTTGGGACTATCTACAAGAAAATAACACTCGATAAGCATTTCAGTTAGATCCCGAAGTCTTAAATGCCCGCCCCCTCATTTTGACGCACGCTAAAGTTACCTCAATTTGTTCTTGTGTGCGTTTGGTTTTAACTGCAGAGAAGGGTTATAAATCCTGCGAGTGACGATCTTTGGGTACTTGTCTTCAACTTCCACCACAAATGAAACTTGCATTGCCATGCGCTGAAGGGTGGCGTTCCTCTGAACAGACTCAATATCCCCCACTGCCAGGCCAACCTGTTGATGAAATAAAGTTCGATTGAGAAATTACGGCTTTTTGTCCAAAAAATTTGTCTTCCAAGCATTACTGTATATCAATCATTACAAATAAGAAAAATGAATATTGAAAAACTGGTAGGCTAGCAAGTTTTTAAAAAAAACTGTAATTGCAATCCGTTTCAATCTTCCTCAAGTTTGTCCATCCTTGCTTCCTTTTGTAGTGCTGTGTCATTTGTACCCTCTTCCAACTTTCTGAGCAATTATTGTAATGTTTCACTCGATTTGGTGGCAGCTACATGTGTATTGATTTTTGTTGAATATTTTGTGACACAGCTTCTTTTATGGAAAGGGCTTTTTTTTGCAAAATTCCCTGACTTTTCCTTGACCTTGATAAAAAATTTGTTTTTCCCTGAGATATATATATTTTTTGGCTTACAGTGGTGACCCTGCAGCTTAATAATTATCTTCCTATTAAATATTATAATTTTTTTTTCTAATGCTAACTAGGTCTGAGGGATTATAGTCCTTACTTGGCTTTGAATACAGGTGAGATTTTTCATTTTATATTATTTACCAGAAGTTTACTGTGGAGGCCTACATCTAGTAAATGTGGTGAACAGGCCACTTGCTAACTCTGTTATTTGAAATTATGGCCATTTCTCTACAATGCAGATTTACATACCTTATTTCATGCAAGCTGCTGCCTAACCTAAAAACCATGATGATAAATATTATGCATATTCTTTGTTGCCTAAATCCATAATTATACATAATAATATGCACATTCTCTGTAGCCTTAAAACCATGTGATTTATTCTGCACAATTGCCTGTAGCCTTAAAATCATATAATATACAACGTATTATGCACATTCTTTGTTACCTCAAACCAGGTAATAATAAATATTATGTTATACACATTCCATGTTGCCTGAAAACAGTGTAATATAACAACAATCCCCTGTTGCCTGAAAACCATGTAATATAATCAAACACATCCCCTGCTGCCTTTAAATCATGCAATGTTTATGCACATTCTCTGTTGCTTCCAAACCATGTTATATTATTATTATACACACTCTGTGTTGCCTTTAAACCATGTGTATATCATGTACAGATTTTAATCTTGATCACTACAAGTTGAACGGGGACGAGCATTTATGACTTAACACCAAGGATCAGCTGCATAAATGCTGGATGTAAATGCTAACATATGTAATTGTCGTGAAAGCTAAAAAGTTTGACCGGGCTGAACGTCAGTTATGAGCTCTTGTCAGCTGAATGAATTTTATGCCTTGTATTGAATTAATACATCACTGTAAATTCTGTAAGGATTTCACAACAAACTAATAGGAATTTATATCAGTTTGTTTTGTTAACCATTCATTGATTCTGTATAAATTGTTCCAAATATTACCACTTTCTTCAGTTTCCTCTTGTTTATTTTGTGCTTGTAAGTATTTTCCGTTCGCGTGCTGGGTGATCATTTCATGGTCAAGTTGGGGGATCCCTTCGGTGCTGGGCATCATTTCGGAGTCGATTTTTGGGAACCTTTCCGGATTGCAGATCATTTTTGGTTCAATTTGGGGATCATTTTGAGGGTGAGGATCATTTTGGTGATCAGCATCACTTCGTGCCGGTGTACAGTGTACCTCTTAATCTTCATACGTAGACCTGTTTTCACACTTTAAACCTCTGAGGTCAACAATTCATTTAAAAATTTTGTTGGATCTTCAGAAATAAAAACGTATCTTACTTTCGGAAAAAAAATCCCTTAGCAGCTTAATTTCAGCTGCTAAATGTATGCAATTGGAAAATAGTTCCTGCGATTTCTAAGCTGGTGTCTTAAATCTTACTCCCTTAGTGTTGGATTTTTGGGAGGCCATGGGACCTGATCAAATACGCCAATATAACAATACCCTGGCCAACAAAGCTGCGTTGATGCTAGCCGACAAATGGGGTACTGGCTTATTATCGCACGCAGACATGTTTGGACCAATGGTGTTAATTAGGCTCCCTGAGGTCCTTCTGGACTGTGTTACTCGAGGATACCAAGATGAGCCACTCAAGGCCCATGCAGAGATGGTGCAGGCGAAGCTGCATTATGAATTCAGCATTGAGGTCCCAGTCAAGTTAATTCAGGGGAAACTGCACACTAGAATCTCGGCTCACGTGTACAATGAGCTGAGTGATTACGACAAGTTGTGTGAGGCTATTCTGATCATGACCAACGATGTGTGTAATAATCCAGCTGCTTATGACACGTATAAGAATTACAGGTAGTTTTTAACCAGCTGTTTATGATGAGACTGAATTAACAAATTGTGAAAGTTTATGCTGCGCAAAAATGTTCATTATTTTGTATTGAGTAGGAAATGAGATTTGAAAGTTGAGGTATTCAAAGTTTTTATATATAAAGGAATCTAAACAACTCCATAATTACCCTAATCACCGGGCTCAATCGTGTGTTCCTTTTCTCCCTAATTATTTATAGTAATTTATGCAAATAATGCTCAAGAACAAACAGTGTATATCTCTATGAAACAAACCACTATGAATGACATCTTGCATTATAATTATCCTTACGTTTTGTATTTTAAGGCGTGTTCTATCGCGCATATAATTTCAAAATTATTAACGAATCTTTTGAAGGAATCGGTGTGAATACACTGTGGGGCCGTTCATTGCAGAATACAGCACATGAACATCATTTAATTGGTATTAACTATTTAATTCTTATGAAGGGCTTGCATTTACATATGTTGTGTAATAATTCTTGGATCAAATTAAGTTATTTAACTACTTTATATTGAACCGAATAAGTCAAATTCAACATGACAGTGTTAAGAATCCCAGCTGGCCGGAAGTAAACCGGTTGGTTATTTACAAGGGTGGCCGAGGCGTTGAATTCTGACTTCCCGGAAACATATCCAGCCACCGTGCAGAATGCAAGTTGTGCGCCCAAACTGCTCGGCCTGCTCGAAAAAATATTCACTCGATTTCTAAAATGGAAAACAATGAGCTGGTAGAAACAAATTTCAATAAATTTCTCTCAATATTGTAATGCTATGAAAACAAGTTTTAAGTTGTTAAAAGTCTTGTTTGCTTAAAGCCCAGCCACTTCAGTCTTTCTGTCATTCTTGTCATCATCGCTTTCGTTGTTTCCTAAACTTCTGGGTTCAAGCAACTCTATCTCAGACAAGGCGTTTTTAGCGTCCAAATCATCTGCTTCCACATTGAGATCCATTTTCTTTGCCATCAACACCAACAGTCTGTTCTGGTTTTCCATCGTCCTCATCAAAGCCTTAACTCGCTTCTTCGTTTTACAAACTTGCTGCTGAATTTCCTTGATATTAGATTCCGTCATTTCTTCATACGCCGTCAGGGAAGGTGACTTCTCAAAAAAGCTAGCTTGCCCGGCTAACCATTCATGTAATCGCCTGAAGTGAAAAGAAAAAAATTGCTCCTTAACCCTAAAACAAATCAGTTGAAATCTCTTTTCTGTAGACGGTAGACTTGGTATTTGGTGACTATTATTTTACGACGTTGAGCTTGACATTCTAATGGTTAAGACGCATTACTATTCATTCCAAATATTTCGCCGTTTCTGATTAACTCAAATCCCCCGGCTGATTCTTCATAACTAGCTGGCGTTTACCAAAGTTGGAAGATGCAAGCAATATACCTTTGCTTCGATGGTACATTGCCTAAGCGGCCTCGTTTCCAGGCAAATAACCCATGGTGCAGCCTAGTTTCCAGGCGCGGCAGCCTACTGAACCAAAAAAAGGAGCGTGCCTGGCTATTCGAAGACGAAATAGCAGAATTTCTGACTAAAACTTAACGGAAGAAATAGAAACATACGCAAAAGATATCGCTCAGAGGATGTTATCTCCTTTTTGGGACTATTTACAAGAAAATAACACTCGATAAGCATTTCAGTTAGATCCCGAAGTCTTAAAGGCCCGCCCCCCTCATTTTGACTCACGCTAAAATTACCTCAATTTGTTCTTGTGTGCGTTTGGTTTTAACTGCAGAGAAGGGTTATAAATCCTGCGAGTGACGATCTTTGGGTACTTGTCTTCAACTTCCACCACAAATGAAACTTGCATTGCCATGCGCTGAAGGGTGGCGTTCCTCTGAACAGACTCAATATCCCCCACTGCCAGGCCAACCTGTTGATGAAATAAAGTTCGATTGAGAAACCAGTGGTATTGTCGTCAGTTCCTATAACCAACAACTTGGATAGAAATTTATTTAGCGATGGCATTTAAGTTTCTCTGGGAACACCACTGAATTGTCTCTGTCAGCATCACTAAGGGTTACTCCCCAGCGTTGGTAACAATGATTTCATTAAATTTCCTTTTGTATATGGGAACAATACACATCCAAAACACAGACCCTTAAGGCTTAGGAACTCTGAAAAGCTTAAGAAGTCGTTCATTGTGGATCATCCTGCTCCACAGACGAAACTAAACCCAGGCTCTGGTCAAGTCCATCAGCGAGACTTGCTGAAATCTTTGTTCTGGGCCCCACCTGTCCACCAGGAGATGAGTACGCGCCACGAATGGCCTGTTAAAAAAGCCATTCGCCATTTGCACATCTCTCACAATACACCTAGTAAGCCAACTAAAATTTTGCGTAAGCATTGCTTTTAATTTCTCTTGGGACGACTGAAATAGCCAAGAGAAATTAAAAACAAAAGGTTGTAAAAATTTGGGGGGCAAACGAGGTGTATTATGGGAGATGTGCAAATGGCGAATTGTAGATTTGCCAATCAGTTTGAAAGAAGAATTCAAAACACATTTTCGATAACTGGTCGAGTCCGTTGGGGGGCCCAGAACAAGGCTCTTGGCGCTGCTTCGGAGACGTCACTAGCCGGGGTTGGATTACGTCTGCGAGGCAGTCCAATAGGACCTTACGATCTGAAAACGGCGACGTCCATGAAAACGTCGCTGAAAAATAGACTTGGCATCCATTTAAACTTTTTCGCTGTTATCCCAATTCGCCCTGTTACTTAAAAGAAGGGAATTTTTGTTGGAGCTGAAGAGAGTGGACCGCGCCCGAGTTCAGACAGAGATTGTAGAATTTATCGCCTTGCCATTCCCGTTCTCAAGTAAACTTAAAATTTGGTCATTTCACGTCGTAGTTGTGCAGGGACAGTAACGAAATGTACAAAAAAGCATGCTGCACGTGCAGAGTTGTTGTTTTGCTCATTAAACCTATTGCTTTTTGACGTTCTCCTTGCCGTTGCCGTCGTAGTTTTGTAAGGTTCCCGCTAATTTTAGGTCGAAGACAGTAAGAACACATTATGTATCATTCCAAACAGACAGGGAAATTCAGAAATAATATTCGCCCTTGACAACTGAAACCTGTAAGAACACCCTGCCAGCAAAGCCTTTCTTTCGCTTATTCGATCTCGGCGTACTATGCATGAATGGAGAAAGTTTTTTGTTGAGCATGTGTTGCATAATGCTAGGATATTGCTTCAACCCTGTGGTCCTAATTTCCTTGCGCTTGGTACAGTGGTCTCTCTTATGAACATCAATCAACGCATGCTCGCGCACAAACTCAGTTTCACGAGAGAAAACAAGATTGACCAGTGTAGAAGTTCGGGTTGCGGCTACTTCAAAAGATTGACTCTATTCAGACAGAGCCTCCATTTCTCCTCCTCGATCAAGAAGAAGACAAAAGGAGGCTGTGTTTGCAGGGTGCTGTCAGAGGAGATATAAAGGATATTCCATGCCCGCGCGTGGATACGAATTTAGTCTTCGAGATATCGAGTTGAACACTCGAAGATAAAATAAAATGCATGCTTGCGCACAGATAAAATTTTATCAGCGAACGAGTGAGATATCGAGTTGAACACGAGAAGATAAAATTCGTATCCACAAGCGGGCATGTAATATTCTGTTTATTATATAGACACCGATGGAAAGATGCTGTGATGCTCTTTTCTTATTGGCGGAGACTGAAGTTGCCATGACAACCGTGGTATCTTCTCATGTGAAGCATAAAAATTGTATCTTCACTGGATACCAAACTTTTGTCTCTGGAAAAATCCTGGTATTTCATCGGTGTCTATATAATAATAGAAACATATACAAAAATATATATGTCAAAAAATAAATGTCAAATATCTAAACAATCTTACCAGAAGATTCATGAGAATTAT